TTATAGAAGGTGGTGGAATCTTGTGGGAGTTCCTGAGGTCATGGGTATGTGACCCAGAGGGACTGTGCAGTTTTTTCTTTGCTCCCTGGCCCATGATATGAGCAAGCAGCTGTGCTCCACTACACACCCCTGCCACTGCTGTCCAGCACCTCCACCAGGAGCCCAGATCAATGGGGTCACTCAATATGCCTGGGACCTCCAAAACTGTGAACTAAATCTTTTCATTTAGACATTAATTTTCTCAGATATTTTGTTATAGTGACATGAAGCTGACTAATATAAAATAGAAATAAAGACAAATACCTCTTATCCCACAATAAAAATGTTAAAAACATTTATAATTTATATCTCTAAATAATTTAAAGTAATTCAAAATAACTAAGAACATTTTCATTCATTGTTTTTATTTGGGTTTTAGTTTCTATGAAGGCAATTGCTATAAATTATCTATAAATTCTTACTATACCAGGCATCATGAATACATCTACACAAGACACAGGAAAGGGAAGCAGAGGTGACTCTGCCAGTCGTTTGAGATGGCAACCCCCTCACAAATGTAGAGCAACAGGGCCTCAGCAGTGTATTCTCCCTTCTGTAAAGTTCCAATTGAATCAACCAGGAAATACTAAGATACCTGTGTTTCCCCTCTGAAGAGAAGAAAACAATATCCAAGGTAGTCTAATTGAAAACTAGCTAAACCTCTTCAGAAATCCTTCAAATATTAATACCCACTATAGATAATAAAAGTAATAAAGTCAAAGTTATGCAATTGAGTAACATCCGAATAACTGTATATGACATGGTTTCTACTTTTTCTTCCATAATTAGGGAATTGCCAGTTAGTCCACTAAAGGAAATCAGATCATTTACCTCAATTATTTTCTGAGCTTGAAGTACCTGCCCTGATAAAACAAGCTAATCATACTGCTCCTGCTGAATGATCAGTCTCTTGGGATCAGGTGCATAGCTTGTTTAGGAACAATGAACCCATAGGACAAACTCATCTCCCCCCTCCACAATTAAGTTACTGTGTTGAATTTAATCCTCAGTCCTACTCAAATGATACAATAATTAAGAGTAACCAATAAACCTAGACTGAACAATCAGGCTGTGCTTGCTGGCCCAAAGCTGGCCAGGTGGCAGGGTAGATGTGAGTCTATGCTGATTTCTACACAGGCAGGGAGGTCCCCACCTAGTCCTGGGCAAACTCCCTAATTGGGCATGTTACTGAACTCCCACTAGCTCTCCTTTTTTTGAACCCTGATTAAATGATGTGCCATTATATAAAATACAAATATATTTGATGTATTACATGTGCTCCATGAAATATGAAATTTCATGATAATTATAAATAGAGTAAAACAAAAATATTTTAAAGAATCTGAACAGTATTTTGATTTAAGCATTTTTAACACGTTCCTTTTTAGGCCAGTAGATGTAGCTGTGAACTAAATTAGGAAATACAAGTACTTTTATCAAGCTGCTCAAAGTCAGCCATTAGATGGCACCTTTTTTTTTTTTTTTTTTGTGATGGTGGGGGGGCTGAGTTTATTGCAGATTTAATGCATTTCAAGGTAGCTAAACAACAATTATTTGATGCTGGAGTTGGTTTTTACTTACCTGCATTTATCTAGAAAGTCCCCTCTTAACGATTTATTGTGTGCATGGACCATTTCTGCTCATCGTTTTCTAACCAATACTGTTATCCTTAGAGAAAAATGCCATTTCCCGAAGAGGCAGTGATAGTGACACAAGTTCATTACTGGACTCAGGTCAATCTCATCATCAAAACTCTAAATGCAGGAACTCTCTAAATGTAGAGATGAAATATCCCATATGCTGTCTGTGAGCCTCAGAACAGGGTAGTAAGAATCTTCCAGGGAAGGGAATGGTAAGGCTTAGACAACAGCTTACTGAGGAGATGTTCTTAGCACAGTGTGCGGCTCTCGAAAGACCCATTAATGACTTCCAAATGAACACACCAACAAATTAATAAACACTGCTGTCCTTAAAACGTGTGCCTCTTGGAAAATATTAGTGGATTCATTTTTCTGTGACACTTCTTAAATATGCAGATCAAACTGATGTGCCTAGTGACCTGTATGTGGGGAGAGGGTATCTGCATTCCCTCTATTTAGTTAGACAAAGATGCAACAGAAAAGGAATCTGTGTATTCTTGTATTCAGTGGTGCCAGTCAGAAAATATTTTTTCTCCCCAAAATATTTAATTTAGGCAATAATCCTCTTATTAGTGCCATAAAACAAAGTTCACATTCTAGAAACTAAAATAGCACAATCTAGCCCATAAAGCCAAATTCTCCAGTGTATAATAACCTAATTTTGTTGGTCTATGAAAATTTAGATTGAATCATTCCATGACTCTTAAATCAAAGATTATTCATATTTTCAAACCTTAAAATTTTTTATTGAGTTTATAACCAGAGTACTAAACACTGGAATCATCACCCATCAATTCCACTGTCAATGGAAAGTGCTAACAGGCTGTCAGCCACTTAACTTTATTACTAGGTGCAAGCCCCAGGTACATTTCATAGGTAGCCAGAGGAGTTTTATGAACTTCTTTGCAGTAAAAAACTAATAGAAATAAAATCTTGCACAATTTTTTAAAAGGTATTACTAGTAAAGTAATATTTTAAAGGTACATGTAAAGGCAAAATAAAAAATTCACTCATATGCCCATAATTCACTCACATATTTCTATATGACATTTTTCCTCCCGGGTACCTTGTTTCAGATACTCCCTCTCCTATCATACATAGCTATGAGTCCCGTTTTCCATTTACTGTAATATTGTAGGCATTTTTTAATTGCAGATGACAGCTTAAAAGAAGATTTTCTCTTCTTTGAGTAAAGAATGGCCAGTCCTAGACCAGACTTGACATCAATTATCATGTGGAGAGATGAGGCTCTCACTTACCCAGAAAAACTTGGTGAATTATCAAGAACAACAAGGTCAGGTCACAATCAAAACCAAATTCACTACCTGCCTCCCTCCCCTAGCTCCTTTCACTTATTCCTTTATTTCCCATCTTAGCTAATGGAGGTAAAGCTAGAAAACACGCAGATATTGAAGATTTAGAATTCAGTTCAAAACTTGACTCTGTCAGTTATAAGTTGTGAGATCCTGGGCAAGTGAGTTAGGGTCTTAAGCCCTTATTCCTCACTTATAAAATGGGGGATAGTAATGCTATATTGTTATTAGGCAGAATAAATAGTCTGCTATGTCTAAAATGTTGGTACAATGGATGAAATGAAAAAAATTGAAGTAATAACAATCATCAAAAATCTTCAGTCAGTGGTTTTCAGAATTTTCCAAGTTGTCCCTAATTTATTGTTACAAAGGATGATTAGAAAGCAAAATCACTTTAAAAATAACGGTTGTTCAGACCAGGGAAACTATCATTTGTCCATCAGTGTGTTTTGACTGAAAAGTACAGTAATCCCCATGTTTAGTTATGATTAAACTGAATGTGAAAAGCTCAATTATGTTTATAAGGTTGCTTTAGCAAACCACTCCCTGTTGCCCTCCCCACAACTCAGTGTCTCCTTCTCTACTGAATTAATTCATCTCCACATAATTATCCAACTTAAAACCAAAACCTTCTTAACTCCCCCCTCCCCAATCCTTCTGGTTATGACTCCATTTCTTTCTTTCACTTTACAGCAAAACTCAATACTTGTCTGGCAGTAGGTACTGCCTCCAATTTCTCTCCTCTATTCTCTTTTGAATCTACTCCACTCAGGCTTTCCGCCACCATTTCAACAGTGACCACTATATTGCTACGCTCAAGTCAGTGGTCAGTGTTCTTATGCAACTTCTCACTAGCATGCAACACAGCCTCTTCTTAAAATGTTTTCTTCTCCTGGCATCCCAGCTACTACTCTGGCTCTCCTGGCCTCTTTGGTCAGGAAATCCCTTTTGCTACTTTCTCCTCTCTCCAATCTCTCAACCTTAGGAATGCACAAGAGCTCCCTCCTCAGACCTCTTTGCTTTCTTGCCACCCAGCTGCCTGCCTTCATGAGCTCATCTGGTCTAAAGACTTTAAACACTATCCATCTACTGGTGAGTCTCAAATTTATATCTCTACTTTGAACCTCCCCTGAATTCCAAACTTCTATATCTAACTGATTACTTGATTCTTCATGTGGCTATCATATCTCAAACCCACAAGTCCCAGACTGAGCCCCTTATGTTATCCCCTAACATTGGTCTCTATCCATTTTGCAGTTGCCCACACCAAAATCTTGGAGACATTCCCTGATTTTACTTTCTTCTCACATCCCACATCCAATCTACAACAAGATCTTGCTAACTCCAGCTTTGAAATAAATCCAGAACCTCTTTTCATCAACTCCATTACCGCCACCTATTCTAAACTCCCATCAATGCTCATCTGTCATTAAGAGCCTGATACACAGAACTTCCTACTAGTTGTTTGGAAGTTCTGTGGACCCTCTTAACAACAGAAAAGAAAGAAACCAATCTTTTTTAATGGATAGCTTTTTAGCTTAGGGTATAAATTTTATAAACACATACATATACACCCAGACATAAACACACACATATTTAGGCTCTTAGGATTTTTTCCAATAATGTGTAAACAACACAATTAATCATTTAAATAACCCATTTTAAAAATGCTTTAATTATTTTACAAGAATGTTTATACATATGGATGGATGTTAAATAGTTTAGAAAGTTGTTCCAATTAATAATTCATTAAAGAAGTAGCTAACATCAATTTACATAGAATGAACATTAGCTACGAATTAGTCATTACATAATTATAGTTGAAAAACTTAAATTAGTTACTAGTAATGAGAAGTTGCCTAGAAATTGGCAAGAATTGCATTACATTCTTTGCCATTACTTCCCAAGACAGGACCACACTACATGGAAATTCGAACACCAGGAAAATTTAGATAGCAGAAAGTAGAAAAAACAGCCAGACGCCAATCATAAGTTTGTAGTTACTTACACTGTGAACTCCTAAAGCTTTCCAGACTGCGAAGCTGATCACACCAACCCCACACCAGGCATAAAGTGAGCCCCAGCCAAGAGCTCTCAAGGCAAGGGAAGACCCGCTCTCTGGTAAGGCAGCTGTAGCCATGCTTCCCTGAAATGAAGACAGAAAGGATTGGGTAAAATGATCAATTCAGAAAGGATAAGTAAGCTGGGAGTGTTTGAAATGATGTAAGCATCATGATGCTAGGAGGCCAGGCCAAACCATGGTCAAATAGCAACTTCACTACTTAGTAAGTCAATATCTCTGATTGACAGACATTTCAGCATACAAGACACTGTGCCTGTTAATTCTTCCAGAAAAAAACTCAGAACATTCCACGAGATTTCTCTATTCCCCATTCATTGGCATTTTTATTAGAATAACATTAAAATAATTACCTAATCTGATAACAGCAGATTATAACATCCTGTCTTTCATCTGGAAAGAAAATTCTATTTATTTGTGTCCACTTCTTTTTCAGAAGAATTTTCTTTATATTGCTCAACCTATTTCTTAGTGCCGCTTTTTCTTACGCATGCTTGGCTAGAGATTGCTAACACTGCTCCAGCACACAGAAAGCCTACACTTTGTTGATCTGCATCCCTGTACATAGCATCATCATGACTACATCTAGTAGGTACGCAGTGCTTATTGACTGGCACTTTTTGTAGATATTCCTTAGACCTAACCAGGGCACCAACACATCCTTCTTTAACCATTTTCCACAATACAAACAATATTCTCTCCATCTCATTCCTTGTCCATGTTGCTGTAGTTTCAGTGTGGTTCCCTAGACACCACAGATCTTACAGATGCACTCCCTGGCTTTTAATTGGCCTGATTTTTGCCCAGAATTAACCAAATGTTATTTTACCAGGGTCAGTTTAAGTGCTTTGGCCTAAATATTAATTTAGAAACAAAGATTAAAAACCATCATTCCCCTGGGAAGGACAGAAATTGGCCTATGCATATATATATTTTAAAGTCTACATACACCCACATTTGTTTTACTAAATCAAGTAAAAAAGAAACTGCATGAAAATAAATCTTAATGATACAGCAATATTCACATAAAAATCTTAATTTTGCCTTAGACTTTTTAAAAAGCAGGTCATATTTGTGTAATATCAGTCTCATAAATTATAAAATAAAATTAGTTATTATTAGTCATACTATATAAATTATGCTTCTGAAAATGAATTTTTGTGGCAACTTGATGTTAAAAATTGATCTTTGAGTTTTAAAAGTGTAGACCCAAGCTTTTTCCTCTAGGGGAAAATGCCAAATGACATTCACACACTCTGTTCAAATTTTTCAAAATGAATGTTGACTGACTTGCTTCAGGAAAAGATTAACTTGCCAAAGAGTAACGTTGCTTTGAAAGCATTTTCTCTCACTGCCATTTTTTTTTTTTTTTTTTAAATACAGGGTCTTACTAAGTTGCTTGGGGCCTCACTAGGTTGCTAAGGATGACCTTGAACTTGAGATCCTCCTGCCTCAGCCTCCGAGTCTTGGGATTACAGGCATATGCCACTGCACCTGGCTTCATTTTTTTTTTTTTAAGTTAAAACTAAGGCTTTTGTATTTGGAAGTTGAATTTAACAAATCATACTGCAGTTACAGTAAAACACTAAGGAGTATTCCCAAGATAAAACAAAAATGATTTTCTAAGTGAAAACTCAGTATTTATAATACTTCTATGCCTGAACATATGTATATTCCTTATCTTCTAACATTTACCTAGTAGCCTCTGAGAATTAATAATCTATTATTCATACACGTAGGAACTACCAAGAGCAAACTGTCAGAATGCTAACTGCATACTAATGAATAAGTCTACGTTTTAGCTTTTTTTCAGTATAATTCTGGGATTTTACATAAATCAAATAGATTTTTTAAAAAGAATGTTCAATCTAGTTTAATTTCCCCTATAAAGCATTCTTATCTAATATCAAATTTTTATGTTTACGTCACAGAATAACTTAATAATGTATGCAAAATACTTTTAAAAGGTATTTTTTATAATTTTTCAGAAGTTACAGCTATGAGAAAGATGAATGATAACCTGTCATTTTAATCTACTTGTTACATAAATGGATCTTGAAATAACTCAGTAATGTGATAAAGTTGTTCCATGCCATAACATTTATAAGGCACTGAATTACTTTAGATAAGCAAATTTCATGTTTATGTATGTATATATTAATAGAAATATACACACAAAATTTCACTCATATAACCTTGCAGTCTTTTTATGAAACTGATATGTGAAAAGAACCAGTTTTAGAAATAAAGCTTGGTCATTTAAATAGATCAAAGAAGTTCAAGAGTGGACTATCTGGCCACCTTAGATGGCATTTTCCTGTTTATTCAAAAAATTACAAAGAAAAACAACTGTGCTTACTTAGCCCTTATTATTGTTTCCCAGTTTTCAGCTTTCTAGCATGAGACACAGCTAAAAATGAAAATAGGTCACTAAGGAGCTGATTATCTGTCTGAAATAGAAGCAGTGTAGGTAGCCCTTAGCTGAAAAGTTGGTCATTAAAAAGTCCTTTTGGGTTATAATCCTGTGTTATAATAAATACCTACATTCCCAGGTTAGTGGATAGGAGTTTATGTGAATAACAATATTACTAAGTGGTATGATTTATTCCCCAGAAATAACTGAAGATAGGAAAGTACCATGTCCAGCAAGTTGCTTGATTCACGTGTGCCTCAGTTTCTTGCTCTTTAATGGGAACAACACACAGTAACATCGGCTCATAGGGCTGTGTGTTGGTTAAATGGGTAAAGCCTTTAGTATAACAGCTGGCACTTGGTAGGTATTCAATGTTTGGAAAAATAATTATTATAATAATAGAGGATGTCTAGGTGGTGGGTGACCTTTAAGTTCATTGCCTCAGTGATACTCTTACATTGGTGCTTGCTCAATACAAACTGATTAAATGCATGCTCCAGAACTTGAGTTCTTCCACAACCCATTTTAACTCTCAGAACGTGGATAAATGGTAATGCTCTGATTCCACTGTTTCCCAGAGGGAAGCAGAACTTACATATTTAACCATCCAGAATGGTGGTTCTCAAACTTTCTGGGTCTCAGGATCTTTTTATACTTGGACCCAAAAGATTTTAAGTTATGTGGGTTATATTTACTAATATTTAATATATTAGAAATCAAAACCAAGAAGTTCTCAAGTTTTATTCATTTTAAAATAGAAGCAAATTTTACATTCTTGCTAATTTTTTAGATGCCTAATCTAATAAAAAAGAGAACTGGATTTTCATGTCTGCTTCATGTTGCAAAAATTTTTTTTTGTTGTTTTGGTTAAACTATATGAATAAAATCTGGCCTACAGATATGTGGTTGGGAAAGAGAGAAGTAATTTAAAAACTTTCCTTTTTTATAAAATTTGACAAAACTCCTAACTCAAGGTTAGTTACAATATGGAATCTGAAGTCATGTCAATGAACTTCTTTGTAATTTATTACATTAAAATGTATTAGTCTATTTTGTACTTTGAATAGACCTTTTATTCCACGAATACATGATTACTCAGAAGATACTGATTTACCAAGTTATATACATATTTCAATTACTGATATGATTTATTAAACAATATATTTTTTAAAACATCCTTAATATCACCATAAAAATTCTCATCAGTAAAGTTGCTGACCACTAAGTAGGGGTTAAGCCCAGGATGGCAGATAAGTTTTCTAAAACCTAATTTTAACTGAAAGTTTGAATTTTAACAGTGGAAACACAGGTTCATATTTTTCACTCTTAGTAAAATGTCTTCCATATACCTACTTCTAAATAACAGTTTGTCAGTTGTTCTTTCAAATAAAAATATTCCATGGGAAAAGTGGCTCGTTCAGCTGGTAACTCAATCACACACTGCTTTTCCTAGAGGAAGACATCTTGCCTCAATGTTAAGAAAAACTGTATGAGTATTTCCCATTTCTTCTCACAATTCAAACGTCATGATTTACTAAAACTAAAATTTTTACTGCTTGGACAATAACATTCTTATGTAATGTTTGTTTGTTTTAATTGCAGATATACTGAAATGAAAAACACAATAATGACTATTAGTATGGTTTTCTGCCACTACGGTGACTATGCCAAGGCACAGCAGTTTCACTGTCCATTACTTCCATACCATGAGTGCAATTATGTTTGAATAATCATGAAGACAGTTCTGACCTTACAGGCCCACAAAAGGGTTTCAATCACCAATGTTCTCTGGATCAGTCTGCAAACCACCATCTTAGACCATGAAGGGCATATGTGATGAATAAATCTCAGAACAAAACAGAATGCAAAGTTGCGAATATGTGTAGAATCTCTAGCTTTCATCAGATTCTAAAGTCTGTGAGCTGAGGGTTAACAGAAAAACACTTCAGCTTACAAATCAACCAAATTCTACTGTTAAAGCACCACTATTAAATTTTACTGCTTTCTGCCACAAGATATATTTCTGCTCTAAAAATATTCAATTACAGAGGGAGAAAATGATCCATAAGGTTCTTAGCGATAATTTGAGTTGTTCCATGTAAGCCCTCATAGGGAATTTAAATGCTTTAAATTTGTCTCTTGTCATTAGTGTCCAGAAGAGTTAAGTATGAATGCCCAAGATAAGAGAAAGCAAATCTAAATGGTTTAAGATTTTTCATGCAACACTCTTCCTCAACAACGGTAATAATCTGGGCGAATATTTAATCTGTGTCAACCTCACTAGACTCTAAGATTCCTGAGTGGCAGAACTGTTGTTCATTTTTTATCCTTTGCACCTAGTTAGTACAGTGTATGACACATAAAAGATCCCAAGTAAACATCTGTTAAAGCAATGAAGTACTGAATAAGTCAAAAGGGGTGGGAAGGAAGAGATGGAACAATACAAAGACAAGAATCTACAAGAAAACTCAAAAGAAAATTCCTCATCAGTGAAGGAAATGAGGTACACAACACCAAAAAGCAACTGTGTCAATCTTGCTAATAAGTTAAGGATATTTTGCTTTAAGTATGTTACAATCATTCAACTAGTTTCTGAGCATCTAAATTATTTTCTAGGGGCTGGGGCCATAGCAGTGAATGAACCTCCTGTTTAAAGAGCTGACATATTTTTCACTGACACAAGGATGCTGCGCTTTATTTCAATATTACATCTCTGAAACAGAGATCCTCCTGCAGTAAGTATCAAGAGTTTAACTGCCATAATTTTTCTTTCTAATAGTACATAAAATATTGGGACCTCTTATACTAATAGTGAGTTACCTAAATTTAAAGTCATGTTGTGACTTATACCAGATAAGCTTTCAAAGTCTTGTTCTGCTAAAATTCAAAAAACCACGAATCAAGCACTTCTTTTTAAATGAAAATGAAGACCATCAATTAATTTGTAAATTTCTTTAATCCATGTGGTATACTCAGACTTACTTCTTAAAACAATGAGAAAGGACATCAACATTTCCTTTACTTTTTTATATAAAAAGATGCCATTTATTATAAACAATAACAATGCAATGAATGGATCTCAGTGTCACAAACCTTATTGAACCATTCAGGGCTTTTCTTTTTAGCCAATGATAGTGTGGTAACAAATCCAGCCAACATTCCTGCTGCGGCAACAGAACCAAGGAAAATTCCACCTGCCAAGAGTTTGGGGGAGGGGAGATTCAAATTTAAAAAAAAAAGAAGAAACAATTAAGTTCAAAACAAATAAGTTTCAGATACTTTTTAAGTTACATTCAAAATTACTTCTGAAATTCGAGAAATTATGGCTAAGCAGCTGTTGCCAAAGGTAAACGGCAGCCTCGGGTGAAGCGCGCCCGACCTCACGACCTCTGCTTCCAGGGGTCATTCCGGGGTGCACTTCCCTTGCCCTCTCCGCGGGCGGCGGCGTGAAGTTTCTCCCGGGGGTAAAGACAGCGAGTGTAATTAGAGCAGGAGAAAAAATGCCGATGGGATGGGGAAATGCAGCCGCACGCGAGGAGCGATCGCGGACCCGCCTCCCGGCTCCGGGCCGCCTCCCGCCGCCAGCGGTTCCCGACCCCGCCAAATCCAGGGGCAAGGCCGCAACGTGGGCTTTGGGCGGGATGCGTAGGGGAATGCCCCTTGGCGCAGGCCAGGCACCGCACCTCCTCACATCACACCTTTAACCAGGAAAAGCCGATCGTCCGTGGGCGCCGGAGTCTCCAGGTGAGAAGGCTCGCCAGGGCCAGCGCCCGCCGTCTCCATGTCAGTCTCCACCACTGCGTACGGCGCCAACGGGGCCCGGGTGGAATCTAGAGCAGGGCGGAGGAGAAAGGTTCCGCTGCGGCCTCCCCTGTGCAACCTGAAGACGAGTCCGGAGAACGGCCGCTGTCCGCAGACCCTCTCTTCTCCCGGGCTGGGCGGGAAAGATGCGAGCGCCGCCCGCAGTGTCCCCTGCTCCGCACCGGGGGCGGGGGCGATGTCCTCCAAGGCGGTCTCCCTGGGAGGGTCACTCGCCTTCCCCAAGGTGATGATCGCTGACTTTAATCATTATTTTGTCTATTGAAAGAATGCTCGACCCTAACTCTAGGGGGCAGCGAGGGGTCGCAGATTAGCCAGGAGCCCGTCCCACCCCAGGCGAGACCGGAGCTCGGTGTTCTGACACCGCGTCCAGTGATTTGGCCCGCGCTAACACCCCGCGATTCTAAAGACAGGCTTCAGTCTCTCCTCTGTACTTTTCTGAGAAATTTCCTGTGGTCGTCCCTTTGATGCGAGGGACAGGATTTACTCCTTCCCTCCGATTTGATTGGTCGGCCTACAGCCGAGCGAGGATGCCTGGCAAGATGACTGCGTCAGCGCTGGGACCCAGTGAGGACCGCCGAGGCCCACGCCGGGCCAGCCGCGTGGGCTCCGGGGCCCCCAGCGCTGCTGCGGAGCGTGGACCGCTGGCAGACAGGCCTGGTCCTCACAGCCTAGCAGGCGGGGAGCCAAACGGGGACGGATGGGTACATGGCTCTTGAGAGGACAGGTCTAGTGGTCAGTAGGAAACCTTTTCAGCCGCTCAGAGACTCATGACATCATCTTTCCGAATGAAGCAGCCTGTCTGCCGTTTTTGGTTTTGTTTTTCCGGATCACTTTAGGGCGTGGGTTTCTTGAGGATGGGGACGCGGATCTATATTCATTTTTACATTCTCTGGCTCCCAGTTTATTACTTGGCCATGCATAGTAAATGTATGTCTGATGAATGACTACATGAATGCATTAAGATTATCATTACGATTATTTTACCAGTTAAATGCATCTACCAACTCAAACATGAGTTCAGGTCCTAAACCACTTCTCAGTTGTGTGAAATTGGATTATTTAGTTTCTCTATACCTCAGTTTCCTCATTTGTTAAATAAATACCTACCTTGGAAGGGTTGCAGTGAGAAGTAAATGTATATAAAGAAGTTAGCATAGTGCCTGGCACAAACAACTCAATAAATGTTCTCTCCAATCGTTGCCACCTTTGATTTCCAATGGCTTTTCCCCCAGAATTGCCTATGGAGATTGTAACAATTACAGATACCCAGCTTCTGCCGCTGGAGATGATGGCTCTGAAGGTCCCGGATAGGGCAAAGATTAAAAGCTGCATGAAGGCTCTAGTGATCAGCCAGGATTGAGAAATACTGCTCTTTTTCTGTGTGGATGAGATCCCACAGAATGTATTTGACCTTTAGATTCTCTGAAAGTAGGATGCCAGGGTCTGAAAGGGTCCTTTATCTCTTTGATCCCTCCAATCTAAGTGGTTTTCCTCCACCATGTGTTCCCACCATGATGTCCTGCCTCACTACAGGCCTAAAAGCAACAAGGCCAACCTATTATGGACTAGAACTTCTAAAACCATAAGCCAAAGTAAGCCTTTTCTCTTTTAAAGTTCATTATCTCACAATTTGTTATAGTGATGGAAAGCTGATCAACACAGTCTGGCATTGCCCCAAGTGCTTCTAATACAGTGTCTCATTTAATCTTCTCTTAAAAACTCAGAAAGAACAACTTACTAGAGCTTATGCAGCTTGCTGTTAAGGGGTGATGCTAGGATTTAAAAGGAGGCTCTTCCTTATCTACTGGGCCAGTGGTCCTTACACTTGAGCTTGATGACTGGAATCACCCAGGGAGGAATGTTAGACACAGATTGTTGGTCCCAGTTCCAGAGTTTTCAATTGAGTGGAGCCTTGAAAACTCACTTGTCTAGAAATGCAGGTTCCTTCACTCTCTCCTTCTTTGCTGTCTCCTGGTAGAAGCACAGAACCTTTTTGTTCTTTACTATATGAAACATAAGGGAGATAATGAACCTTCAAATCTAGAGAAGTCGCAGAGTTCTGTAATCCAGAGCCTGTCTGTGTTTTGAGAGCAACTACAAACCCTGTGGGACCCATCTGCTTTTGTAATGGAGGATGTGGCTTCATACTAACTCCCTGATCTAAACCACAGTTTCCCTCTTTTCTACTTGCAAGCTTGTTTCTCAATACACTAGCACTGAAAAAGTAAAGCAAACCAGTGGCTACTCTTGAGCCTTAGGGTAAGTCATTTGCATTTTGAGGATCCTTTTTGGACACAAACTACAGGAGGGAACAACTGTTCCTTGGAGAGGGTGCATTTGTTTGGGGGAGGGGAGAGATTGCAGCCCCCATTCCACACCAACGCTAGGTACTTGACTTGTACCAGGTTCTGGGAGATGGTGTTTCCAGAGTCTCAGAAGCCTTAAACCACAAGGACAGGACCTGAGATTAGGACCACATTCCAAGCATCCCAAGTTAGAACACTGAAAGAAAACATTTTTTTAAAAAAGACCTTGTTTCCCAAGGTCTCACATTTCCACAGTGCACACAATTAGGTACTTCAACTGCAATCAGATTAACTGGCCTGCTTCAGGAATTTCAAAATCCCATTTAGACTTGTTCTGTGGGAATGCATAATACAAGTTCTAAACAGGTGACTTGCAAACATTCAGAGCACAGTCTTTGCAAGACAGAGACTTTAGTTCTAAAATAGCAAGACAGAGTATTTTCAAGTGTGGAAACCAGAGATTAGAAAGATACAGAGCTTTGGTGCTGCATGCAATGCCGGCAGGACTATCACTTCAAAGTAAGCTTGAGTCCCTTTTAGGAAAATGTAATAGAAATGTCTTGCTGCAGAGAGGAGGCTGCTGGGAAGGCAAGTTTATCAGAGATAGACACTGTTGCTATTTTGGTGTTTGTTTTGAATCAGCTGAAAAGTCCACACCAGACATGCATCTGACCATATTTTTATTTCAAAATTTTTGGTCCCTGTAGATTCTATTTCAAATTTTGACAGCTAGAAATCTATTAGCATTACAGTTCCCAGAATTCTGGTAGCCCTAGCTCTAGCTAGTTTCACACACTGTTGGGCTTTTTTTTTCCCATCAATTTTTAAAACATTTCTTTGGAGCTTCACTTACTCTGTGTTTAAAGTATGAGGCTGAATTATTTTTAAAATGCTGTAAGGGTCATATATTGGTCAAATCATTCTCACTGCTGCTTGACAAAAATATAGTGCAGAGGTCTTTAAAGTTATTGTCAAATTAAGTGCATGCATAGAAGAAAAAGATCTGCTGGATTTCATGCTCACACAGGTGACCTGGAGGGAAGGGAAAGGTAAGTTTTCTATCCATATTTCTTCTGTTTTCTGCCTTAATTAGTGAAATGTTAGCCAAAGCAACATTTTCACTTATTTCTGGAATGTCAAAAGCATTTTAACATGAGTCACTTATTACTTTTGTAAGAAGGAAAACAATAAAATATTTCCAAAATATATCACTTTATTCAAAAGACAGACTTTCTGATTGAAATAGAAATATTATGTAAGTTTCCAGGGTAATTCATCAATCTCTCCAGTGGGATACCCAGTGACAGGATTCTTGGAAGGTGAGGAAATGAGCCAGAAGCATTACATCATAAGGAGAAAGTCTGTGCCGTCCAGAGAGCCTATGTGCCTTCTGCAGTATGCAGCTGTTGGGCCTCTTGGATTCTTCCCAGATTCTGTGCAGGGTCCCCAGAGCCATAGCTACTTTGGAGTGCACCGCACTACAATCAATGCAGTGCAATATAAATGGTAAGCATGAGAATAATTCCTCTGGGTGGGCTGAAGCTAGGCTTCCAAAGCAGGAGTCTCATTACTCACTTCCGGTATCTCATTACTTATCTTTTAGAATCCTATTCTATAACAGTTACAGGTTGAGTAAGATATCTGTTTTTATCACAGTAAATAAAAGTTGCTGCTATGCATTATTCCTTTCAATTTTTCTTTATTGTAGAGTGGATCCTTCCTAGGTCTTTCTGCGCTTTTGATTGAATTGTTACTGTTAATGATCATGCAGAAATCTCATTGAAAGCTGTTATATTTCATAAGCCACTAGGTATTTTCTTGGAAACAAGTGATGCATATAATTTACTTTAACTTCTCTTCTGTCTAGTGAGGATCCAATATGAACATGCATGTTCAAGCATTCTGTGAACTGTCAAGAATCCAGGTGATATTCAGTGCTATTATCTACAGTTCTGTGTGCAACTACAGTTATAGAAAACCCCTTGAACATTCCTGAAAGTAAACTGTGTTTCCATAACGCATTATGATAGACAAGCATGTATGTTACACAAATATTCACTATTAGAGTCAGTAAGACTAGCAACTTATCAAATGCTTATTGGTTTTTTTTTTAAAGAGAGAGAGAGAATTTCAATATTTATTTTTCAGTTTTCGGTGGACACAACATCTTTGTTTGTATGTGGTACTGAGGATCGAACCCCGGGCCGCACGCATGCCAGGTGAGCTCGCTACTGCTTGAGCCACATCCCCAGCCCATTATTGGGTTTTTATTATTAATTATCCTCTCCTAATCTAGTGTATTAAAAATTATAAAATATAAGGTGATTTTAAAATACCTTCTATCACACATATTATGAATAAGGGACTTCGAAAACCATAAAACCTTTCTTGACCAAGAAAAACTGGCTGACTTTAATTTTCCTTCACATGGTGTGTTCCAGCTGAGCACCTGTCATGGTCTTGGATGCTGGATTTATTCAGGTAAAGTCAAGTCTTTGCTCATTGGAATTTCTAGTTCCTTGACCCTCGATTCTCTAAGTAAGGGAGACTTTCATCAGAACATCTTTTGTATTAACCTGTGTGGTTGACATTCATTCTAACTGTATGTCTTCTACTTTTCCACCTTCATAGCTAGAGTATGATTCATTTCTGGCTTATAAACTCTGCAGTGCCTGAAGTTGCTCCTCTGAATATCAACTACTATTGCACATGACGTAT